TATAACCATGATTTATTCAATTTCAATCATCTTTAAACACTACCTCTTAATCAAACCATTAAAATAAATTAAAAAGATCCTGATATAAAGCTCTCGGCATTTAACGCCAACCAATAAGATGAGTCCACGTCTCATCTCCGTCGCCATTTTTCCTCTGCGCCTCTTTTCCAAGCACAAAGCTGTGCACGCACCTGGCTTTCACCAAAAGAACCCCTAAATAAAAAAACCAAAAACCCTCTAAATCACCCACTCAAATTTCCTTAATTAAACGCCATTTGAACAAAATCAAATTCAAAACCCATCCCATTGGTATCTCCACTTTCTCGCAGAAGAAAAAATCAGAAAAAATAAATAAATAAAAACAGCAAAAATTTGGGAGAGGACTTTGTGTTTTTTAATCGTTTGCTTTCACTTTTGTTTGCGCTGGTTTTGAGCTCGGCCGACCGAGGCCTTTCCTGAAGCTGAAGATTTTTGATTTTTTTTTTATTTGTTTTTTTGTGGGCAATGGCTCAATCGACGAGGAGGTACCAAATGGTGGGGGATTATATGGTGGGCAAGCAGATTGGCGAGGGTTCGTTCTCGACGGTGTGGCACGCGCGCCACCGTGCCCACGGAACGGAGGTCGCGATCAAGGAGATCGTCACCTCACGGCTGAACCCCAAATTGCAGGAGAGCCTCAAGTCGGAAATTTTTATACTGAAGAGGATTAATCACCCGAATATCATCCGATTGCACGACATGATCGAGGTGGGTTGCTGTTTTCTCGCTCAAAAATTGATCTTTTGTTTTGCTTTTTTGTCCTCTTTAGTGAAAATATATAAATGTGGAAGCAAACTATGCGTGGTGGAAAGAGTTGTTTTCTATTGTTTAATTTTTTGTTTTATTTTATTTTAGTCTATCTTTTTGGTGCCTTTCCCTTGTTGGAGATTAACTGTAGATTTGATGGGTGTCTTCTGTTTGATTCAGTGTTTTGTGGTTTTTAAGTTTAAGGCTGTTGATTAGGATACTGTGTGTGTGTGTGTGTGTGCAGACTATGTAGTTTGATTTTATGATTAATGCAGGCCTATAGGAATTCTTTTGGGTTGTGTTTGGGTGAAGGGATTTAAGTCTTTGGGTTCAAATACTTTAAATTGATTCCTTTCCCCTTGAAATTTTCAACTCCAATAACAAATATTTTTGTTTTATCCAATTTTTAGTTGATTAAATTGAAGAAATTTAATAGTTTTGTAAACTCATAGCTCATGCAATCAACAGAAACTTCAATACTCTAGGTAAAATAACTTGTTCAGCTAATCGAACCCATAAAAGTTAATACTTTAGTTCAATTTTCTTTTTCCTTCTTTTTTTTCCTTGCATGTAAAGTTTATGCTGTGCCAGTTTCTGTGAAATGTATGTACTGTGTGGACGTAAAAAATGCGTACTCTGTGTGAAATGTCAATAGCGTGTGCCTTGTGCGTGAGATATGTGAACTCGTTTCTTTTATAAGTGTGTGTGTGACATAGAGAAATTGTGTGTGTTTGTAAGTATATTATCCGCTGTTTTTATCAGATTACTGGTTTGTGTTGTTTAATCTCTTGTGCTCCATGGTTAAACAGTGAGATAAGTGAAGTAATGTTTGTTTCTACCTGTTATTGTTTCGTGACATAACATTATGGCATGTTTTTATAGGAGAATAATGCTTGAAGAGAATCTAATCATTTGTCCGTAATTATACAGATACTTTCTGTGTCGAGTATTGTAAGGCGAGTTTTACGTAACTCTAAACAAGTTAATTGTGTGTAACTAGGAATCTGGTAAGATATACATTATATTGGAGTATTGCAAAGGAGGAGATCTTTCCATTTATATTCAACAACGCCAAGGGAAAATCTCTGAGGAAACTGCAAAACATTTTATGCAGCAGCTCGGTATCTACTCTTTTTCTTTCTTCATGCTGTTGTATTCTGTTTCACTTTTTGGATACTGATAGTGTCATTCTATTAATCTAAATAATGCAGCGGAGGGTCTAAAAGTTCTTCGTGAAAACAACCTTATACACCGGGATTTAAAGCCGCAGGTTTGCCTTGAAAACAAACTTTACATATTATTCACTTCTGTAATTTTATCCTTGCCGTCGTTATGATAACTGTTTGAATTTAAATATATAGCTCTTGTACATATATTAGCAAGAAACTTAGCAAGATGGACTTTGTTATGAGATCCACTCCACAGGTATAAATATATATAAGTACAATATTTATAGTCAGTAAGTTTATCCGAAACATCTGTTATTTGGGTGGCTGACTTCTACCTTAAGTTCACACTTCACATAAGGAGTTTTTTTACCAGATTTTATAAGTTTAGTGGTCTTTGTCTCTTGTAAATTTCCGTTCAGCCATCAAAATTTCATCTTCTATGAGTAAAGAAATTTCATCTTCTATGAGTAAAGTGTTTCATATTTTTTTTCTTTTTTCCTCCCTTAGTTTTGTATACTTCTTAAGGGAACATTGCATTTGCTTGTTCATTTCTTGGAACAGAATCTCCTCCTTTCCACAAACGGTGACAAAAGTGTCTTGAAGATTGCCGATTTCGGATTTGCCAGGTATGACTCTACCTTTTATGATATAATTGCATTTTTGCCTATGCGCCCAGTCTAGGCTTACACTGGGTTTGCGCATGGTTTTTCACTTTTACAGGCATTCGTATTTCTCGATTCATTATTGACCATTTGTTCTGATGTGCCACCACACTATCTGCACAATTTTTTTTTTTTTTTCCAAATTTATTTTCTTATCAGTCAATCTGCTATTTAAATTGTGGTCAAGAACACGATTGTTATATGGACATAAGTTTGTGTATGGTTCTGAAAGATTTAGTTCTTTCAAAGTCCAAACCCATAGATTAACAAAAGTTGTGAATATGAAGAGATATTGCCGTGCTTAGCCTGAATTTATTGTTTAAGTAAAAATGTGAATTATGGCCTATATGAAGCTTGGGATTTGCAGTTCACGTATTATTTTCCCCTTTCTGCTTAGATCTCTACAACCTAGAGGCCTTGCCGAAACTTTATGCGGTTCACCTCTTTACATGGCTCCAGAGATAATGCAGCTCCAAAAATATGATGCTAAGGTGAGATTAGATTCACTTTTTCGTGGTAAAGCATACATTTTTCTTGCAAATCGTGTATTCATTTATCGCATTTTAAGCAGGCAGATCTCTGGAGTGTTGGTGCCATTCTTTTCCAGCTTGTAACCGGAAAAACCCCATTTACTGGAAATAATCAGATAGAGGTACGTTAAAGTTAAACCTACTACTTTTTGCTTCTAAAAACTTACCCTGTCCGTTTTTTCTTATCTTTGCTGACGTTACAAATGCTGATTGCAGCTGCTCCAGAACATCATAAAATCGACTGAATTGCAATTTCCACCAAAGGCAGTGGATTTGAATCCGCTCTGCAAGGATTTATGTAGGAAATTACTGCGTCGTAATCCAGGTATTTAGAGCATAAAATTTTGGTTTTTTCTCTCTATAGAATTACCGTTATACTTAGCTTGAGTAAATTTTGCTGTTTACTGGAAAAATCAAGATTGTTTGAGGAAGTGTCGAAGATATATAATTCACGATTTGTTTTCATTATTTTATGTTGAAACCTTTTTTCATCACAGTGGAGCGGCTGACATTCGAAGAATTTTTTAACCATCCGTATCTGTCAAATGAGCAGCCCGTTGAGTTCCTCGGGTAAATGTGATAAACATGTTAAACATTATTTTGTAAATTATATATAATAAGCCCATTATATATACCTGGGTTTTACGAATTTCTTGTTTTACAGAAATAATCAGTCTCAAAGAAAGACCGATGTATTTTCTCTTTCCACAAGGAATAATACAGATCAATCTTTGCAAGAAGATTGCTTGCCGTTCAGTCTGGATGAAGATTCGAGTCCCTCTTACCAAACGAAGCCCACTATGAAATCATTATATGGATTTTCTCCCAAAACGAAGCACGAAAACACGAAGGATGTATCTAACATTGGAAACAAAACAGACCCTTCAACATATAGTGGAATTTTAAAACCCCGTTTTTCTGAAGGAATCCTCGCGAAAGAGTCTCTTAAAACCGCTAAGAGCCCGGTAATACTAGAAATAACTAATCCGAAAGGTATAATTTTTTTTTTCTTTATTTATTTATGTTCTTAATTTCTCCTTTAGTGTTCGATTCTCTCTCTCTCTCTCTCTCTCTCTCTCACGTTCGCATGTATGCATGATATGTTAGTTACAGACTCGCTCGAGTCGATTGACCAGGATTATGTAATTGTGTCCGGTCCTCTAATGGACTTATCATCCAAAACCGGCACCAAACCTCTTTATTCCGAGAACGTGGGCCCCACGAGTGCTCCATTGCCAATAGTTCGTGGAGCAAATGGTGGGCTCGATAATCACACTGGAAGTGTCGAAGGTAGACAATTATCTTCTCCCGAGATTTCAGAAGGGTCAATAGACGTAATAACAGACGCTTTAGATCAACCGTCAACCGACCACACAACAAGAATCAGTTCCTTGCGGCAATATGCAGCCGTCATTACTGAACTAGTTAACGATAAGGTAACTTTAAGACTTTTAAGTTAAACAGTGAGTTATGAGTTAGGCTATGTTTGGTAAACGTAGCTGATAAGTTAGGTTATAGCGTTTAAGTGAATTTTGAGCTTATAGCTGATAGATTACGACTTATAGCTGAAAATCTAGCTTATGTGATGAAAGTGTCTGGTAAAATTTATTTTCAATGGGGTTATTTGAAATAAAAACCTTGTTCTACCAAACAAAGCTTATTTGAATACAGGAAGCTTATAAGCTAATTAAAAAAAAGCTATAAGTTAGCTTATATGCTTACCAAACACAGCCTTATTCGAAGAACATAGTCCAACTTTTTAACCATTTTATCAATAAAGATATGAAAATGGACCCGTGTCTTTATCTATGTAGATGGATGGAGGAAAAGAGGTCGAAGCCTTTTCGGTTCAGCTTGTGATTCTTGCTATTTGGAAACAAGCGTTGCATATTTGTCATACTCATGCAGCTTCGGCTGCTGACGGGAGTCCCGGCCGAGAGATTACAGATTTTCAAGAGTCCATTGATAATACGACTAAGGCACAAGGGCCACTCGATATCTGTTCCGAGATAGAGGGAGCATTTCTTCACGAGTTCGAGCGAGCTGAGGAACTTGCTAAACTAGTGGACCATGGTTTGATTTTTTTTTCCTGTTTTTATATATATAACATATATTCCATGTCAGAAAAAAAATAATGTGATTGTTGATTATCCAATGATTTTTTTTTTCTCCTTTTTTTTTTCCAGGAAATGTGGAGTTGCCAGATGCAATGGAATTGGTATATCAGTCTGCCCTTGCATTAGGTAGACATGGAGCGGTAAGGCCTAAATTGGTTATAAATTTACTAACCAAAGAATTTTTTTTTTTTCAACTCAAATTTAATTCAACTCAACTCTCCTCAATATTATCAATCTAATTAACCCTTCTGAAATCAACTTTAATCAATATTATAATTAACTTTAATTCATTATTCATTAACTTTCTATCATTCACATAAGCATCGCTTATTCATCTATTCATTATTTAACTTTAATTCATTATTCATCAATTCGCATAATTTTAACTACTTATCGCTTTCATTCACATCTCTCCTACTTTTACATCAAATCAACTTTAATCATTTTATTTTAAATATTATTTTAAAACAAACTCAAAATTCCACTCAAACCTAACTCAATCAACATTTTTTTTTTTTTCAAAATTAACTCTGGTTATTCAATAAATCCAATTAAATCCAAAACAACTTATAACCAATCACCCCTTATGTATTTAGCATGACAATCAATTCTGCAGAATATCCTCAGTAAATTTTCCAGTTTCACGTAATAATTTCTTTTTATGTTTTTAAAATATTTCGAGAATCATCATGTACGAGAGTTTTCGTTTCACTTTGGATGGTTTTTTGCAGGTGGATGAATATATGGGAGATATCGAGAGTGCTGTGATCTTCTACTCGAAAGCATCGTGTTTACTAATGTTTCTCCTGGTCGAAGCTCCGTGCCTCATTTTGAATCCGCCATTTTCGTTGACAAATTCAGACCGTTATCGCATAAAAAATTACATCGATGTCCTCAACAACAGGCAAAGTGTTTCCAGGTCCCAAAGAGTGGCTGTTCTGAATATGGAGAATCAGGCACACACACTTACTTAATCTTATGTAATAAAAAGCTTAAACTGGTTCGAAACATGAATTTCGTTTTTTTTTTTTAAAATTTTCGGCTTTCTATTTATTATTATTGTTCTGTTATTTTTGATAGCTGCATGTATGTACAAAATTAGTATGTTAGTGTTCTGGACTTGCATGTCAAGTTGTACAGAGGG